GTAGTTTGAGCAGCGTTGTTTGTGTGACATGTGGTCAAGCATTGTTTTGCAAGATGATTGGCCTGTCTCTACTGGCCAGTCTGGGCTACTTAATGACAAGCATCCTCATCATTTTGTCCAGTTGGTTGCAGTAGACATATGCTGTAATCAACTGACCAGGTTTCATGAATCTATAGTGGATAATACCAGCACTGAACCACGAGACACCATTAGCTTTTTTTGATTAATATTCAGTTTTGGACTGTGTTTTGGCACTTCATCTTCATCCAACTATTGTGCCTAACACTTGTGATTGTCAAAGAGAATCCATTTTTCATCACATATAACAATATGGTATAGAAATGGTTCACGTTCATGTTGTGACAGCAAAGAAAGGCAAGCTTTGAGACGATTTCTCTTCTGACGCTTGTTTAATTCATGTGGTACCCATCTATCCAGCTTCTTTATCTTGCTGATTTGTTTCAAATGGTCCAATATTGTTGGAATGGCAAAGTCAAACCTTGCTGCTAATTCACAAGTAGGTTAAGATGAATTAGCTTCCACTAAAGCTTTCAGCTTATCGTTATGCACCTTGGCCTCTGGTCGCCCATAGGCTCATTTTCAAGATTTAAATCACCAGAATGCAACTTCTCAAATCCTCAAGGTACTGTGCATTCATTAGCCACATCCTTCCCAAACACTTTGTTGATATTTTGAGTTGTCTGTGCTGCATTGGTTCCATGATGGAACTCATATTCAAAAATAATACGAATTTTTGACTTATCCATGGTTGCACAAAAATTGCCGTAAAAAAATTTTGAAAGCCAATCACAAGCCAAACCATGTATTTCAAAGAATGAGGATGTGCCTTCACAATAAAAATAAAACAGGAAGTGTCAAAGTGAAATGTCAGCAATATCAACTGTCAAACTTAGTACTTAGGAAATAAGACATTTCATACTTAATAACCTAATATTAATGGTGTAACAGAAGAAATATGAATATGGAATGAGTGTCATATCTATTCTAAAATAAATTATATGGATTGTTGATCCTATATGATCTCCCTTTCATTCCTGGTGTATTCCCCATAAACATGCTCAGGATTTTTCTTGACAAAACTGTCTACCCTGTCTCTACTTCATTTCCAAAGTAATTCTTATGTTGGACCTGAGAAGTTTTTAACATCTTTAGTAAAGTCTTTAAAAAAAGAGTGGTGGGGGGGAGTATTTAGGCCAGGTGTGGTGGCTCACGCCTGTAATCCTAGCACTCTGAAAGGCAGAGGCAGGAGGATCAGTAGAGGTCAGGAGTTCAAGACCAGCCTGAGCAAGAGCGAGACCCCGTCTCTACTAAAAATGGAAAGAAATTAGCTGGACAACTAAAAATATATAGAAAAAATTAGCCAGGCATGGTGGCTCATGCCTGTAGTCCCAGCTACTCTGGAGGCTGAGGCAGAAGGATTGCTTGAGCCCAGGAGTTTAATATTGCTGTGAGCTAGGCTGACATCACAGCACTCTAGCCCAGGCAACAGAGCAAGACTCTGTCTCAAAAAAAGGGGAGTTTTTAATTGTATGAAGGGATCTCTTTTTAATGGACACTAAAAGGAATGACTCTATAATGTAAGAATATCATTCATCATTATGAGACTTATTAAAAATAATAATTATCAGCTTGAGAAGAGAGGAAGGCTCACAAACCTCCACAAAGGCATAGCTATTCACATTCATCCTGTGTATAATTAAATTCACAAGTATAATTGATAAGAAAATTTAAATTAAAAGTATCTTTACTTTTTAAGTATAAAAAGTAAATTTTTCTTCTGGTTTCTTGTTAAAAGTACCAATATTTTCTTCTTTATTTTTCTTATAAAGAAAAATAAAAAATTATCTTTCACCTTGTATAGTTAATAGTTTCTAAAATAATCAGAATTGACTGGCTCTCTGAAAAACAAAAATCTACCTCTACCATAATTTTTAATGCTATCAACTAATGTTATTGCTGTACATACATGTATGTTATGAGAGTATGAGAGCCTTATTCAAAAATACTATCTAAAGAGCCCTTGTAAAGAATCATGGAAGAGTAAAATGAAAAATTTAGTTATTCTGTGATATCAAACATAGGCTTATCTAAGAAAATAAAATATTAAATTCTTTTTTAAAATTTCTAGTCAGATGATTACACATCACACAGATGATAAGTTTATTTTTGTACAAGTGAATAAAATGTAACCTAACATTTTGGCAAAATAACTTATAAATTTATTACAGTTACTTGCCAATGACTGTTGGTTATGTCTGCAAATCATATATATTTGAAAGGTATTATACTGGTAGAATCCTGAATTTCACTTTAAAGTTACCTCTAGCCCTAATTCTTTTTTTTTTTTTTATTTGAGACAGCGTCTCACGTCTCACTTTGTTCCCCGGGTTAGAGTGAGTGCGGTGGCAACAGCCTAACTCACAGCAACCTCAAACTCCTGGGCTCAAGTGATCCTTCTGCCTCAGCCTCCAGAGTAGCTGGGACTATAGGTGTGAGCCACGATGCCCAGCTAATTTTTTGTTTCTATTTTTAGTTGACTGGCTAAATTTTTTTTCTATTTTTAGTAGAGATTGGGGGGGGTCTCACTTTTGCTCAGGGTGGTCCTGAACTCCTGACCTCAAGCAATCCTCCCACCTCGGCCTCTCAGAGTACTAGGATTATAGGCATGAGCCACAGCGCCACAGCACCCAGTCCCTAATTCTTTTTAGACAGACCAAATTCATTGCAACAAGGGAGTGAATACCTATCTATTTGGATACGAATATGCAAATACTTGGTCACAATGGGGCAGAAACTCTTTAAGGCCAAAACAAACAATGTAAAGATTTCATCTTTATAAAGTTCTCTGACAGAGGTCTAATTAACACGCTGTGCTCAAAACTGACTTTCAAATCACTGCAAATGATCTTTCCAGGTAGTGCTAGCTTTATATTTGATTCAAACACATAATAATCAAACCGCCTAATGCTTAAACACTCCAACTCAATTCCCCATTTGTATGCTATGATCATCTCTCCATAGGGTGGATGCCAGTTTTCATGAAATTATAAGATGCCCCAGAAATTAAGAAAACTTTTCTCCTCATGGAGAAATTAACTTTTATAGTGGATATAATAATTGTTTACATCCCGATTTAGCTTTAGGTTTTAGAAAATACCCCTTTTTATTTCCCTTCTGGTCTTCAACAACATGTATTTTCTTCAACAAAGTGTGGTGGAAAGGGCACAGATATTTTAGTTACTGAAAGAGTTGGATCCCAGTTCTGCCATATTTAAATGTGGGTCTTTACCTAAACTAACTAATCTCTTTGATTCCTGGGTTATTTGGCTGCAAAATCTGGATTATTATATAAATCTAGTGAGGCTGTTTTAATAGTTATTAATTCTATATTGCCAGATGCGAAAACAACCCAAGTGCCCATCAATACATGAGTTGATTAATAAAATGTGGTATATGTATACCATGGAGTACTACTCAGCCATTAAAAAATGGTGAACTACTTGTTTTATTATCCTGAATGGAGCTGGAGCCCATTCTTGTAAGTGAAGTATCACAAGAACAGAAAAACAAACACCACATGTGCTCAACCATTTAATTGATATCAATCGATTGACACCAAGGTGCATATATAGAAATAACATTCATAGGGTGTTGGGCAGGTGGGAGGAGGGGGGAGAGGATGAGTAAATTCACACCTAATGGGTCCAGTGTGTGCTGTCTGGGGAATGGGCACGCTTGTACTCTGACTCCAGCTGTGCAAAGGCAATTTATGTAACCAAAGTGTTTGTACCCCATAATACTCTGAAATAAAAAAAAAATACTATATTGCCATCAATGTAAAAGTTTGCTTTAACTATTAAAGGGCAAGACAATTGTGTAGATATCTGAAAGTGTGTGTGATTGAGAACAAGTAGCCAGTGAAGCAGGCTCATCTGAGGTGGGAATTCAGGAAGGCAGTAGAGCCATCAGAGCAGGGGAATGACTGCAAGCCCACTGTCCCCCAGGCTAGACAGATGTTTGGTCTCACAAGTCAAAATGTATCATTTGACTAAGGAAACACACGTCCTCCAACTGAACAAGAATACCTCCTAGATTTTGACTCTTCCTCCTTAAGTCATTGCAGCCCTAAACAAACAGTTAAATTGACCTAAATGGTCCCAGAAATATTTAACAGCATTATTGTCAGTTTACTTCAACTTTGAGTTGATACTTAAGACTATAAACTTTACTAATATTATTAGTAACAATTTAATTTTCCTGTATTAACTCTCAAAATAAAATTTCTGCAAGCTGAGCTATGATAAGTGCCTCTTGTAATATTGACTAATAGCAAACATTCCAACATGATCATATAATATTAATTTCAGGAAAAGTGTTCTTAGTTGGTAGAGGGAACACAATCAGATAAAATTAATCATTAGTAATTAGTAATATTTGAACCCTAAAAATTTCCCGAATTATTTGAGGAACAGTAAATAATTCCTTTGTTTGAAAAACTGTATATTTTTGAGGTAAGCATTTCTGACAACAGAATGAGACTCTGTCTCAAAAAAAAAAAAGAGGTAAGCTTTTCTGAAAGCTCATACTATGCTATCCGTAGTAGTGTAACATCAGCTCTGTGTGAGGGATGGAAACTCCAGACTTCAAAGTCTTAGGGGACAGAAACAATAGGCTCTGCCTTAATTTTCCCTCAGGTTCAATGGAGAATACAGTAACAAATATAAAAGGTGATACCACTAATAATCCACACAAAACCCATTCTAACTGCAATGCCACTGAAGAAGAGCTTCAAGGCCACAGCCACTTGTATGTTTTGACTCAGGCAGTGACTTCCAGGAACTTGGGCCCTGGGTGATATCTTCAAGAAAATAAAAGAAATATGACATGACCATTTGGTTACCACCTGAATTCTGGAGTCTTAATAAGACTTTCCCCTACTCAATTCCCTCTATTAGTCATTGTAATTACTGCAGAAGTACCTTCCTCGTTTAAGATAGCATAGCATCTCTATTGGCTCCTTTGGGTTATCTTCACCATAGTTCATTGTTTCCTTGGTTGTTGGGTTGAATATCTATTGTCAGGTCCTCCTTTTTTGACTAAGTGATCCTGTTATAATGAATAAGGTGGAATTGTGACTATTGAGCCTCTTTTTGCCCAACAACAAAAAAAGAAATGTATATTATGTAAGTATGTGTAAGTGCATATGTGCATTTGTGTAGAAAATGGACAGCTGGAGCTAAGGGAGAAAGAGGAGTTGTTTCAGTAAATAAGAGGTGGTGGCTTCCTGAGATGTCCTTTCTGCCTATGTTAACATGTCTCCAAAGTAAGACAAACTATCTTTCTACTTAATAGTTTGTATGATTCTCTCTTCTCCTAAAGCCTCATTAAACATTTTCAGGAGTATCATTGTATATATTGTGGTAGTTTTATGGTTCTAGAAAACCCCTTGACCAATCTCCACTCCCAGAAGTGAAGAGGGATGAGAGGGTGGGAAAATGAACTCCAAGGACTGCTAGTTTTTTCTTTTAAGCTCAAAAATTATACCATTGCACTAATAAGTATATGAATCTGAATTGGTAAGGGTAGATTATTATAGGCAATACTTCAAATCATACATATGCTCATTGCCATTTAATTTAATGTCAAGATAATGTTAAAAACCTTTCCAAATCTCAGTCACTTATCTTGTACTCAAACTATGACTATTTTTTTCTCAAAATCCTATTTTTTTTATCCTTAAGTGCACAGAATTGAATTAAGTATAACCTTTTTGATACAAATTTATCATTGATGTATCAATTCTTGATTTTTTAATATGGGTAAATAAATTGCATAATTTAATATGTAATTTATGGGTATATAAATAATATGGGTAAACAAATTTTAATATGGGTAAATAAATATTTAAGAGGCATGCCATACAGTAGTCAATATGAATGAACTTCAGCTACACACACCAATATGAATGAATTTAGTAAAAATATTAAGAGAAAAAAGTAATTCCCACAAAAATAAGCAACATACTGCTCTGTTTATAAGCTAAAAACAAACAGAACTAAACCATATACTTTTTAGGACTACACATGTATTGTAAAACTTAATACAAGGGAATGATGAACATAAAATTTAAAGTAGTAATTTTTTTCCAGTGAAAGAGAGCAGGGATGTGGAAAGGAAAGAAACCTATCGTAAATATAAGCTATTATCAACATTCAGAATGTCTTGTCAGACGGTGAGTTTGTGTGTGTTTATGACATATTTTTTTAAATACCATGGTTATTTGTATTAGTTTAAGACTTTACACTTTTTAAATAGAAGAAAGAAGGAAGGAACAATTTCTTGGGAAGCTGGAAGCCAGGTTAGAAGATCTAATAATGCTGAAACCTAATGCAGCCGGGGAATGGGGAAAGAGAAATAACATAAGCATGCTGATTTATTTTGCATTGCCTTAGGTTTGGATTGTGAAGCACTAGCAATTTCTGAATGTGAGGGTACAAGTCAGTCTCAGGAGAAATTATTTGAAAGTCTGTATAAGACACAAATAAATCCCATTTCTCCTCTTACTCCAGCAATCAAGTGATCACTCTACTCAAACCTTTGGCAAAAATGGGGTCTACTCCACTGCAAGGTTGAACAAAAAGGAAATCAAACTCTGAAATACCAAGCTCAGCATAGTTGATTAATCTACTGAAAATAAGGGATTGGATGAAAGTCTAGATATCAAATTGTGAGAAATTTCCATCCATGTTCCCCAATTGGTTCCAAGATCACTATCAGACTTATTTATGAATCCCACCAGAGATTTTGGAAGATTATTCTTTGAATAAATTGTCCAGCTGCACCACTCCCAAATACCTATTAATACAGAGAGTTATGGGTCCTTGAAGAAAATGGCCAATGAGAGCCATTTCTGGTAGAAACCAATAAACCACAAGTCCTGTCCACACAGCAGAATGTCCCATTGTCTCATAATCATATTAGTGCTTATTCTGTAAAAAACAATGGTCAATCACAGATGGAGGAAAACTTCTATCATGAAGGAACCGGTTACCTATCTATTTGGATATGCATATCCAAATTCCTGACCACATTGGGGAGAAAAACCCTTTAAGATTATGAACAAACAAATATAAAGATTTCATCTTTATGAAATTTTCTGATATGGAGGTATAATCAACACATTGAGCCCAAAATTGATCAGATCACTGCAAATGATCAGTCCAGATAGTGTTAATTTTCTATTTGATTCAAACATTTGATGATCAAGTTGTCTAATCATTAAACACTCTAGCTCAGTTTCTCATTTGTGTGCTATGATCTCCTTTTCATGAAGTAGATTTTTCTTACTAATGTAATGTTGGTTTAACATTCAATGAAAGATGCAAAGAACTTCTACACTGAAGACTAACAAATACGTATGAAAAAAATTAAAGAAAATTTAAATAAATGTGGAGATATAACATATTTCAAGGAAAGATTAGTATTTTAAGATGTACATTCTTTCTAAAAATCATCTATTGATACCATTCCAATCAAAATCCAAGTGAAATTTTTTATAGATATTGACAAGATGACCCCAACATTTATATGAAAACACCACACACTAAAAGAGCCAAAATACTCCAAAAGAAGAAATCTTACTCCACAGGAAAGACATGTTAATAGAACAGAAAAGAGAGTCCATCAATAGACCCACACATAAATATTCACTTGATTTTTTTAAATGTCACCAAAACAATTCATTGGAAATTGAAAATTTCTTTTACATAAATAGAGATGGTGTAACCGAACATCCATGTAGAGGAAACAACAATAACAACAACAACAACAAAAACCCAAATACTTGACCCCACCTCATATCATACACACAAATTAAATTGAGATGGCAGCTAAACTATGAAGTTATGTTCTTGTTATTTATCATGGGATAACAAATCATCCCAAATTCTATAAGTGTAAAAACTGCAACTATTTATTATACTATTATTGTGGGGGCTAGGAATTTGGACATGGCACAGTAGGAATGTCTCATTTCTGCTCCATGATGTGTGGGAAAACAGCTAGGATGGCTTGAAAGGCTGAAAATGGCTGCAATAGCTCACCTGGAGCCATATGTCTGGAGCCTTATTTCTTCTCCACATAGCATTTTTTGGGAATAAAATATTCAAGATAATCTTTCATTCACATGACTGATGTTTGATCTGAATGGTTACAATAGCTGAGGGCTTACTAGGACTACTCTTTCTCCACCATGGTGGTCTTGGGGGAGTTAGACTTATGACATGATGTCTGGCTTCCTCAGGTATGACTGTTCTAAGAAACCATGGCAGAAGCTTTAAGAGTTCTTATAATCAAGCCTCCAAAGTTCCAGAATGTGACTTTTACCACATTCTGCTGGTCAAGTGAGTCCCTAAGGCCAGCCAGCCCAAATCCAAGGGGAAGGGAAGAATAAATTTTTTCAATTATTGGGGAATGGCATTATGTGTGAAAAGAAGAAAGGAATTGGTGGTGAATATCTTCGAGACAATCTACCACAGCTTGGAAAAGGAAACATCTTCGTGGCCTATAGTTAAACAAAGATTTCTTAAACAGGACACAGAAGATATTAACAATATAATGGAAAAAATGATAAATTAGAATTTATCAAAATTTAAAACTTTCTATTATCAAAAGACACTTTCTTTTTTTTTTTTTTTTTTTTTTTTGAGACAGAGTCTCACTTTGTTACCCAGGCTACAGTGAGTGCCATGGCGTCAGCCTAGCTCACAGCAACCTCAAACTCCTGGGCTCAAGCAATCCTGCTGCCTCAGCCTCCCGAGTAGCTGGGACTACAGGCATGCACCACCATGCCCGGCTAATTTTTTCTATATATATTAGTTGGCCAATTAATTTCTTTCTGTTTATAGTAGAGACGAGGTCTCACTCTTGCTCAGGCTGGTTTTGAACTCCTGACCTTGAGCAATCCGCCCGCCTCGGCCTCCCAGAGAGCTAGGATTACAGGCGTGAGCCACCGCGCCCGGCCCATCAAAAGACACTTTCTATCATCAAAAGCACATCAAAGGGCAAGCCATATTGGAGAAAATATTCAACATACATATATCTGATTTTTAAAAACACTCATATCTAGAACTTGTAAGAAACTGTAGCATCAATAAAAAAGAAAAATAGCAAAATTTTTTAAATGGGGCCAAAGACTTGAATAAGAATGCCACAAAAAGAGATTCAAGTGGCTAATAAACATATGAAAAGGTGCTTAACTCAATACTCACCAAAAAAATGAAAATTCTAAGTGCAATAAGATCTCATTACACATAATAGCTACAAATACAAAGACTGATAATCCCAAGTGTTGGTGAAGATGTAGAACATCTTGAACTTTCACACATTGTTGTTGGGAATATAAAAATGGTAGTACAATCCATTTGGAAAGCTGTTCAGCAGTTTCTTATAAAGTTAATCATAGATTATCAGTTATCATTATCACTTTAACTAACCATCTCAAAGTCTGACAATAGAAAACAACGATCCTTTAATTTGTTTATAATTATCTAGGTCAGCAACTTGGGTTAAGATTACCAGGTGGTTCTTCCACTGGTCTTTCCCAGTCACTCGTGTTGCACATCTGGCTTGACTGGGACCAGATTATCTAAGAGGGCTTCACTTATATGTCTGGTAATGGCTCTTGGTTGGGCTCATGTCTTCAGCAAGCTAGCCCAAACTTCTTTACATGGCATAGTGTTTCAAAAGGGAAAGTCCCAATGTGCACTTTTTAAACCTCTGCTTAGGTCATGTTAATGTTCATTGGCCAACAATACTGACATGGTCAATGTGTCAGGGAACTATAATTCAGCATGAATATTGGGAGGTGGCCATTTCTTAACAATATACTATTAATACATATACCTATCCTATAACCCAACAATTTATTTCCTAGACGTATACTTGACAGGAATGAATGCATATGTCCATACAAAACTTTCATGTGTTTACTGTTGACTGTCAAATCCCCAAAAGACCAACATACAGATTAGTTGATCAAGCAAAGCAGAGTTTATGGGACCTACTGCAGTAATGGAAAATATTATCTTAAGAGTGTTAGTAGTATCTCAAAATGGTAAAAATTGGGGAAGAATATTTGTAAGGTTTCAGGACCTCTAATAAGTGATAATAAAGTGAATTTTGCAAGACAGGGAACTGGTTGGTGTTGAGCAGAGTTTATAATTTAATAACTTTGGATCGGTGGGCACAGCAAGGCAAAAGTCTTGAAGAAAACTTTGATAATTGAACTGGTTAGTTGGTATTTCCTGGAGCAAGCCACTAAGTTACAGTTGCTAGTGTTTACATTATTTAAAATGGGAACTGGAAAGTGTGTCTGGTCCATTAATGCAGGGCAGAAAATTACATTGGCTTTGGTTCTCACCACACAGTATGAAATTCAACTGACATTAGATGGTTAATAATTTTTTTGTGTCTTTTTTTAACAGTGCCTCTCTAAATGTCATTTTTGTTTCTGATTATAAGAAATAATTAGTTTTGCTAGCCATAAATTTATAAAAACTCTACATTTCTTATTTTGAAGTCAGAGTATATCTAACCACAACTCCTTTACACTTAACAGTTTTAGAAGTGGCAACATGCTGATGCTCATGTATAACTAATAGAACTGTATCTCTAACATACTCCTTCAAAGTATTAACCATATTAGTCCTTCCAGTTTAATAGCTGAAAGCAGCGGTTATAAATTAATAAATTTTTTCCTAATTGAAATTATTTAGTGTTAGGTA